CTCGGCGGAGGCGGCGCGGCCCCGGCTGGCGGCCCCCGCGGCGGGAGCGGCCGCGCTGCGGGCGCGCTGGTCCCCGGCGAGGCAAAGTTTCAGCGCCAGCCTCGGCGCGGCGGCGGCGGCGACTCGCTGCTGCTCTCCTCCCCTGCTTTGACCACCATCTTATTAGTACAGGAAATGACATGGAAAACGGAAGAAAGCGGCGTTTGGGGCAGACGCGGACCCCCCAATTCAGGGGCCGGAGCCGGGACTCACCAGCCGCGTCCCGACCCGGCCCCGGAGAAAACTCCCGGGGCTCCTTCGGCCCGCGCCCTGCCCGGAGGGGGAAACCCGGCTCCCCAAACCCAAAGGGAGAGGGAGCGTTTTATAATCCAGCCCGCGGAGAAATCGAGAAAAAAATAGATGATAAAAAGAAAAGGTTAAGAGAACTTTGGAACTGGGAACTGGGATACTTTTTTGGGGTCGGAAGTAAAAGTTCTCAAATTAAAAAAAAAAGTCACTGCGAGGGGGGCTCCCTGGCTCTCCCGGTCCCTTGGCAGTCCATTTGGAACCAAATAGTCGAGGGGAGTCGACGCGTTTGGATTTTTAACCCTTTCGGGGCTCCGCAGCTGGCCCCCTCCCGGTCCTATTTAACCCTTTGAATGCACAGCAGTTTGGAGATAAAAAGTTGCAAAACGTAGGCGTCCTGCCAAGGCTAAGGGTGAGGGGCTTGGGGTTCGCTAAAAATATTAACTCTTTACCTGGGGCTGCGGTTTTGAAGTCGCGAACCGCACATGTTCTTCAAATCGAGATACGTTACAGAGGGAGAGACCTTCTGAGAACTGGGGGGGACGGACCTTGGCCGGCTTGGAAAAGATGTCCAAGCTGCATTCACTTGCTCGATTCCTCAGTTTCTTCATCTGTGAAATGGGATTCGATGTAACAGAGAAGGGGTGATGAGGGAAAGACGGGGTCGGGGGTGGGATTGTCACAGTGCTTAAGAGCTTGACATGCTTTCCAGGGCGCCAGGAAAACGGACAGGTTGTGATGGGGCTGGAAGCCTTGGAGCAGGGCAAGGGACACTGCGGGGCGGCGTAACCGGGACAACCATTCCCCAATCAACCCGTTTCTCGTGGCGTCCTCTACAAGTCCTGTGGCCCAATGGCGGTGTCTCTCTCCTACCAAGGGAGGATGAGCTGTGTAGGCTCTAAAGCTGGGGCAGAAACCCCAGTTGGTGGTTCCCAGGAAGGCGCCTGGGCGAGGCGCTGTCCAGTGAGAGGCTGTCCCTCCCCCACACGTCCACGAATCCCTGCAAGAGTTGCTCAGACGCCCCCCACCCCCACCAATGAGGGTACTACCCCAGGGAAGCCTCCTCCCAAGGCAGGTAGAGTTCCCTGTCAACCCTGCTGCTGGCGATCCTCAGATGGGCATCCATGCTCAGACCTCTGGGCCTGCTCATGGCTTTTGGAATCTGGATGTGGAGCTGGAGGCGGTGGGGATGAGGAGGGAGGGAACACTGTAGGTACCACATCATCTGTTTCCCTTGACTCTGGCATCACAAACGCAGCTTCTTGGAATCTCATGCCTGTTATTGGTTGTGTGATCTTGAGCAAGTGGTTTCACCTCTCTGAGCCTTTATTTCCTGCATCTGCAAAGTGGTGCACAGTAATACCCACGTTCCTGACTCTGCATAAGGAGCCACCGGAGTGTATTTAAAGGGCCCAGAACCCAGCTGCTCACAGTAGATGCTCAAGAGACAATAACCGCGCTAACATTATATGAGGTTCAGTGCAACGGTACCATTCCTGAGTATCTCTTGCTTGATGCCAGGCAGAGTATTGGGTACTGAGGGTACCGGGGGGGGTTCCACGATTAGAATGACAAGATCCTTCAAGGAGGTCTTGGTCTGCCCAGGAGATGAAGGCACTCGCAGATAATTTGAATTAATTCAGAACCGAATGCACCTCCAGCTGCGCTGAGCATCGTTTTGGATGCCAAGTGCCGGGCTGGGAGAAGGGGCACTGAGGAAGGAGCCATTTATTGTTCCTTCTTAGGAGAAAGGTTCACCAAGGGAGTGATGTCAGAGGCAAGCCTGGAATTTCCACCAGTGGTAGGATGGCATTGCCAGGAAGGCAAACAGCTGGCACAAAGACCGCGAGGCTTCAACGTGGCCGGGGTATTGAACAGGTGTCCTGCAGTGACTGGGGCAGAGGGTGAGGCAGAGATACTAGAGATGAGGGCAGAAAGAGAAGTGGATAAAGAAGGGGTGTGGTCCCCGCCTCCAGAGAGCAAAAAGATCTTTAAGAGAATGACAAGTTGGAAGTGAGGTAAGGAGGGTATTTCTTTGGTGCTGGTTTTCTATTTAAATCTCCCCATCCATTTGGCCCAGTCTGGCTTCCTTTGCCAGGAGCCATGGGTCCTCAGCTGCATCTGTAGGGTGCGATTGGGTCCTTGGGCATGACAGGCTGGGGTGTCAGCACTTCATGTGTCACACTGGGACTTCCATAGGGGCTGTGGGGAGCAGAGACATGCAATATGATCCAGAGACCCAGGTCTGGGTCCCAGCCTGCCGCCTGAAGCATATGACTTGTCCTCTGGGGGGCCAGTGTTTTCCTGCATGGCATGAGGAGTTGGGACCACAGGTTCTATATTTTGCCCTCAAGAAGCTGCCCCTGTAGCTACACAGTCAAGGCCAAGGTACAGGAAGGAATCAGGAACAAGCCTGGGGGAATTGCTGGAGCCATCTCAGAAGGGAAGCCCCAGGCAGTCGGAGGGTTGACACACATGCTCTGGGTCAATGTGGGCAGAATGGGATCACCACAGGCAAGCAGTCTAGACAAAGCAAGTTTTGTGAGGCTGTGCCTCAGTTTCCTTCTGTGGGCTGAATTGAGCCTGAAACTCAGATGTAGGAGTGAGATGAGAGCTCCACCGGCATTTCCTGAGAACGCAGGGGAAGGGGAAGAGGACTGAAGTGAACAGGGCATACGGCACACACCTTCTGGGGGACTACCATCTAGCCTCTCAATAATCCAAGATGGATGTCATCATCACCATTTTTTGCAGGCAGAGAAACCATGTTCAGAGAGGTTAAGAAACTTGCCCACGGTCACACAGCTAGTTTGAGGTAGGGTGAGACTCAAACCTAGGTCTGTCTGACTCCATTGCTCAGTGTCATCTGCTCTTGGTCATTTCTGCTTCATTGTCCTTTTCTGTAATGCAGCTTTTCAGCCTAATGAGTGGTGAGGTATTTTCTTAATTTCTCCCTTGAGTGTATCTCACAAAAAGGAGCTGACCAGAACGTTGTGATCCAAGGCTAGGTACATTATGACCTCTTCTTGCAAAAAAATGTACTAACAATCCCAGTCACCTCCAGGTCCCTGTGAAGGCTACTGAAATGCTGTAAGTGAATAGAGTTCACTTCTTTAGAAGGAAACGTCCACCTGAGGCCTTCTCTCCATCCCCTACTACTAATAATGACACCAAGCAAAACATACTTCCGGTTAGCTCCAAGGCAAATGCCCCCTGGATCCTAGAAGGAAGAATCACTGGAGATTCACGGCCACATTCGTTGTAAAACAAGGACGTTGTTCATTGCATTAATGACCTTTCCTAAAACCGCTAGGGAAAAATTTCAATGAGGATTTAGTGCCTGGAAAAAACTAAAACTGAAACACACTGCATCTTCCCCCAAGGAACTGTCAAGCATCTTCCTTGCTAATAAGAAGAGCTCCATAACTGATCAGCCTTCCCTTCTTGCACAGGCTGCCAGGAAGCTCAGAGCCAAATTCCACCTTCACAGCTTTGGCAGTTGCATCCTTCTTATTACTGCTTTACCACTTCTAATCCTACTGGCTCGGCCTTGTTGTCTCTGCCTTTTGTTAAAGATGTTGCCCTTTTTAATGGTAAAAAATAAATGCTTTAAATAAATCCACATTTGGAAGAGCTGCTGAAGGGACCTGGATTCCACAGGCCTTATGTTAAGCCAGGCACAGTCCTGTTCTGGTCTTGTCCACTCGCCCAACAGCTGAGGGATCCCTCTCTTGGAAAGAAGGAGGGGCTGGCTTAAGACCAAGGAATTGCTCATCCAGCTGCTGACAGTGACTAAGATCAAAATGC